TGTTTGTGGGGTTCATGTTCTTAAAGACGTGTGTGTGTGTGTGTGTGTGTGTGTGTGTGTGTGTGTGTGTGTGTGTGTGTGTGTGTGTGTGTGTGTGTGTGTGCGCCCACTCCTCTGAGTTGTTGAATTTGCAACATGTCTGGACTCTGTGCAGGTGTGGTTCCAGAACAGGCGCATGAAGGATAAAAGGCAGCGTCTTGCCATGTCCTGGCCTCACCCGGCAGACCCCAGCTTCTACACGTACATGATGACGCACGCGGCCGCAACGGGGAGCCTGCCGTACCCCTTCCACTCGCACATGCCCCTGCACTACTACCCGCACGTCGGCGTCACGGCGGCGGCGGCGGCGGCCGCGGCCACCGGCGCCGCCTCGTCCCCCTTCGCCACGTCCATCCGGCCCCTCGACACCTTCCGGGCCCTCTCCCACCCGTACTCCCGGCCGGAGCTCCTGTGCAGCTTCAGACACCCCGGACTGTACCAGTCGCCCGCGGGGCTGAACAGCTCCGCGGCGGCCGCGGCTGCCGCMGCGGCGGCGGCGGCGGCGGCGAGCGCGCCCTCGGCCTCCGGGCCCTGCTCGTGCCTCAGCTGCCACAGCAGCAGCCAGGCGGCCGGCGCGCTGGGCTCCAGGAGCTCGGGGGCTGACTTTACCTGCACGGCGTCCGCGCAAAGGTCCGAGAGCGGATTTCTGCCGTACTCCGCCGCCGTMCTCAGCAAGACGTCAGTCCCGTCTCCAGACCAGAGGGAGGAAACTCCGCTCAACAGATAACTCCGTCAGCACAGGGCGACCCGCTTTCTTTAAGGTCGCTCTTTTCAAGGGGGGGAAAAGCCACTTTTAAATACCACACATGGGCAAAGCATTAACAAACACACTATAATTAATTTTGAAGCAGAAGGACTTTGTTTTTAACAGAAAAAAAGAAAAGAAAAGCGGGGAACACAGCACATTTTGCAAACTCATAAACAATTTTTTCTAAAGGCTCGTGCTTGTGTTGTGCGACTAGACCAGTTTGAAAAAATAAAAAACTAAGATCTGAATCAATTAAAATCTACTGTGAATATTTCTGCGGTGTAGTCGTCCACTGTAAACCTCACCTAGTTATTTTTTTAAGTTTTAACCTAATTTTCTAAATTTAGTCAACTGAAAGTGTGCTCCTTTTTTTGGTCCAACATATCTTTCTTCACTAAAGGCTTTAATAAGACAGAGAATTTGGCAGAAATAGCTCCCCCCCCCCACCACCACCACCACCACCAACACCAACACCACCACCTCAGCTCTGTGGGGACCTCCCTAATCAGCCAGAAGGTGCAGAAGACATTTCTACACCGCGTCTTCTTGTGTCAATTTTTCTGTTAATAATGAGAGGATCATGACAAAAATTGCCAATCATGCACCTAGATGGAGCTCCTTTGAATCCAACGACTTGTACCGGAAAGATCCTTTGTTTTGAGACCCGCTGTCATGTGCTAACAACCCGCGGAGGGAAGTCATTAGACATACAAAAGAGCTGGAAACAAAGCGACGCTCCTGGCACCCAGAACGCACTCTAAGAGGACACAGGCTGACACATGGAGGCTTTAAAATGTTACATTTAAAGGAGCCCCCCCGAAAATATATTAATATTATTTCAGAAAAGGGAGGAGAAAACAGCAGGCCCTGTTTTATTTACATTGCCGAACCTCATTATGTCAATCCATTATTTTCATTTTCTTTAGAACCTTCACTCAGCACATACAGTGATGGGACAAAGCGCAGAAAAAAATAGTCCCTGAAATCTGTTGCCTATTTGGGACATGATCAATATCCAGAAACAACTGTAAAAAGGAATTGTGCAAATTTTACAATTAGTCCTACTGAGATCTGGAGTAAAAACAATTGCACAGTAAAAATAAATGTAAATGGGCAAATTTTCAAACTTTTTATTTTATTATTATTATTATTTTATAGTTTTATTTTGTGTGACTTGGTGAATGTTTTTAATGTTTAAACACTGGATGTGAACACACCAGACCCTTTTTTTTACACAGCTGATTGGCAATTTTCTGAGCTGTCTTTGGAGTGAAATTGGAAAAAAAAACTGGAGATGGAGGAAAAAAACAAACATTTTTAACAGAGTTCTTTTTTTTTCAGGCTGACAAACTGAAATTCTGTGTTAAAACTCTATATCTCTGTATTTAAAAATATCCAATGACTGTATGAATTTAAATATTTTAACTTGGACAGGAAAAAAAAAGATATGTGCAATATGAAATGTAAATCATGTTATTTATTGATCGTGTTTGTTCTTGGACAATAAATAAAAAAAAACACTCTTTACACAAWTTTTCCCCCTTGTTTATGTAACAGAAACAGATTATTCTATCAGATAATTTGAGCTAAATATAACCCAAACATTAGATATAGTCAACATCAGTAAATAAATCTGGGCTATTTCTAAGGAAAACATCTCTGCAGCCTAACATTAATTAAGAAATATGCGGAAAGCTTCAGGGAATATGAGGCCTGACATCACGGGGTCATTCCGGCCCTATAATTTACCATTATTTTTACATTACCTCTAAATGATACAAGCTGATACTGTCGTTAATTGCGCGTTGGTAAAAATATAGCCAGGAGCATGAGTGGCCCCTCGGGGACTTTAAGATAAGTTGCTTTTTTGAACGTCCCCATTAAAAGAAATAGGATTATGGTTGTGATATATATCACTAGGTTTACTTGCTCTTTTACTAAAGAGAGGGCTGCAACCCTGGACAACAAAAGGCCCTGAGATAGATGGGGAGGTGCAAAAAAGAAGAAGACACACATTTAAAAATAAATAAATAAATATGAGGACTGTCTGTCACCTTCTCTGAACGCTTTTTTGACAAGAAAATAAATCTTCGGGGATTCTTTAATATATTTGATATTTTCTTTATTTCGGGTGCTAATAGAAAAACCAAATTAAAATGTCCAGCAGCGAGATAGAAATGCAAAGATCGATGATCCTTCCCCTACTGTCCAATCACCCAGCCCTCCCACCACCACCCAGCCCTCCCAGTTAATTGACTGTATTTTCAGGGTAATTGAACTGCTTGTTGTAAATTGGGAGGGATTTTATAGAAGCGACATGAAAACTGCATTTACTGACATTCATCGCCATCTTTGACATTGATTATCTGATCAGCGCCGTGTCATGCTAACCTCCAATTCTTCATTACACACTGTTTATGAGCTGTTACAGAACAACTCGCTTGTTCCAGAGTGATTGATTGCCTTATTAACGCGTGCTCTTGTAAGTGTGACCGGACTGATTACGATGCATATGTTTAGAATAATGTTTCATTTAGCTGACTGCGAGTAATGCAGGGTGACAGCTGCTGCAGAGAGGACAAGAGGAGAGAGAGAGAGGGAAAAAAAACAAACAGAAAAAAAAAAGAAAACTAAACTACAGGGAGCAAGAGGGGCCAAAACCCATTTAAGGTGGAACCAGAAGACAACACAGCCCTGCATGGACAGTCAAACTGTTCAACACCAGATCAGAGACTTCAAACAGGGACTAAAATACATTATTGGTAAATAATATAAAATACTGGGAAAAAAAATTAATTCTTATTCGTGATTTTTACATTTTGATGTAGTGATAGTGATACAACTTCATTTTGATGTTCATTAACATTTATAACAGGGGATGCAAAAACAACAAGCCTTAACAATGGCCAGTATTTACTGTATATATATCTTGTTATTTTGGTGAAATATGCCTTTTTTAATTTTATAGAATACGAAAAAAACATTTTATAGATACAAATTTGGATTTAAAAAGATGCATATTAAGCATTTACTTTTAGTCTTTTTAAAAATCTATTATTTCTTATTAACACATTTTCTCAAAATCAATAAATTCAGCTAAAAAAAACTTTGAATAAAACCCAAACATAAAATTTGAGTGTTGTTCAAATCACACAATTATTAAAGCTTTTTGTTTATTTTTGAAGAATGAAGAATTTTGTTGTTTTAGAATAATGTGAGATATCCACCAATAGATTCAGTTTAACTCCTTTGCTTTAGATTTAATAATTTTTTTCACTAAATGAAGTCTTATCTTACTTGCACGTGTGCATTGACCATTTTACAGTTATTATTCGTGCTCAAAGTCAGATTTTGCAATGCATTGTGGTCTTGATATTCATGTTTACTTCCATTTCATTGATATACACTTAGTCTAGATCATCTTGTAGCTGTGCTCCGCAGTTTTTTTCGACATCTGACAATATAACACATTGTGAACATGTTGGTACATAATATAAAATACTAATGCAAATATTTATGTCTGTGTATATGCATCAAGAAATTGAAAAAGATCAACTGAGCCAGATGATCTTATTTTAAACAAATGCCTTTTTGATCTTTTGAAATTTTCAGATTTTTAAAATTCCATTGTTGTATATGAACATCAAATATATATTTCTTTTTACATTTAAACTACCAAGTTAGTGGAACCAGTTGGCATAACTAACATTTACACTGGCGCCCAACGTCTGAACACTTTATTTTGTGTCATGAAACATAGAGTCAGTGGGTCTTAAGATGCCAATTATAAATCCAAATTAACTTTAAAATAAATAAAAATTTAGATGCTTTTGTACTCTTCAACCAGTAGAAGTTGGAAACTAAAAACATCTGAGCAGACTTACAATTTTACTTTGAGAATAAAAAAAATGTGTTGACCTTCAGACATCTTTTCTTGGATGTACATCAGCTGCAGTTTGGGTGATCCTGTCTTGACGTTGTTAATCCTTCCACTTCAAAACAATTTTTTTGGCATCAAAGTTGGCTAATTTTGACCAGAAGTTTAACTTTTAGTTTTTAGTCAAAATTAAAAGCAAAGAAAAGAGACTCAATATCTACCAGACTGAGACATTTCCTGTAAATTTAAGATATGATCCTGGGGTCCAAATAAAACTGTGATGGGGCCATTTCTGGCTCCCGGACCTTCAGTTTGACATGTGCTTTAAACCATTCAGACTGAGAAAAACATTTTTCTTTTTTCTTTTCTAAAAATATTTAACCAAATTAGCAGCCAAACACAACATAAAGTASACCCTGAAGAGATTTATARCACATCACGCCTCTGAAGTTATAGTCTCCGCTCTGTTTGTCTCAAATCATTGCCTCTGTTCAAATGTTACCTTCATATATTACGTGACATTAATCCAACTATAGCTCATTAGGACAGAATGAAATGGTTAAATTAACTTATCAACTCTTAATGATGATGAATGAGGTATTAATTCACATACAAGCAGGGCAATTTGCAGTTTGGTTCATTTTGATGCTTCTCAAATAACATTTATTACAGCAGGTCATTCCCTCAATCAATTACAGCATGCATTATGAGCTGCTGGTATGGAAAATGCTGTTTTCATGCATATGTATTGAAACATGTTCTCAATTATTTTGGAAATTGGTATTTATTGGTTTAAGAGTAATTCTTCAGTGGCTCGTTGCTCTGGATTTATTTAAGGTGGTATTACAAAATGCTGCTCTGGTACATCATTTTTCAACTCAGCAAATTATATTTTGAAATCATTTCTTTTTTCTAAACTTTTGTGGACATCATAGTGTATTGACTAAATTGCAAAATTGCATTTTAATAATAAATACCTCACTTTTCATAATAAAAGCACAAACAAGACAACTCATTTTTTTGTTTTTTGTTCATTTATGTTCATTTTAATGAATTTCTGTTCCCATTAGTGATACAATGGTCTGGTAGGCATAAACCAAACTGCCAACAACAACTTTAGAAGTTTAAAAAAGGATATTAAAATTATTTAAAGGGATACAAATTGAAAATAATCAAGCTGCATTGTCTCTTGGGTTTTCATGGGACACATAAAGTATAGCTAAAGAAAATGAAATAATTTTAGCTAAGTTCACCCTCTGTTTGTTGTCCACACTTTCAGAACCAGGGGTGTTGACATGGGTGGACCAGACAAGGCCCATTCAGTTCAACAACCTGATATTTAAAAAAAAAAAATTCCCACCTTCCATTCATTTAAAGTGTTTGTGTATTACAGTGTTTTTCTTTGATACATTTTTGTATGTTTCTGTTTTTCTCAAAATAAAGAAATTAATGAAAAAAATAAAAGCTTCTTGGTGACCCATAGATTTAATTTTTACTAAGAAATTGAAAATGTTCAGGTTTGAATTTTAGAGATCTAATGTTGTCAGGGTGTACCTTTGTTGGAATAAAAGGGTAACACAAACAGATTTCCCATTATTTTTGTGATACTATACCATGTTAACTTTAGTAGCCTAGTTATTGTTTTATCAGGCCTGTCACAAAATATGTTACATTTTTGTTGCAAGTTGTACTTGCCCAGGCTTTTAAATCAGAAATAAACCTTAATGTAACTTAACGAAAACGACTATAAGCTGAATACTAATCCATTGTTGAGCCATTCTGATATTTTTAAACACTTTTAATGATGCATTTGGTGACAAATGAAGAAAAATGAGTTTTGAGTTTAAAAGTACTGACAAAATACAGAAAAAGAACAATTTAAAATGAAAATTAGTGATGCGTCAATAAGAGTTTTGAATTTACAAGGAGGTTGTGGGGATGGGTGGTGTGTGTGTGAGGAGGTTCTCTAATTTACATTTGAAATAGTTTTCTATAACAGCTCATGACATTCTCTTATAGTTTGGTTTTGGTGGACCACCCCAACATCTACATGTTGTTCCCATCTGGCCACCTCTTTGAGAATATTTGGGAGGTGCTCATTTTGAAGTTAAACATAAAGCTGGAATGCTAGTGTTTCAAATGTGATTTTGATTCAGTCACTGCAAAAAACAAATAGTAATTCTGAACTTTACTAGAGACATGTTTTATGACGATGGCTTCAATGTTCAAAGAAATTGATAATTCAAACAAGTGTGCATACATTTTTTTCATGCAGTAAAAAAACAAACAAAATTAACTTCAATGGAGAAAGGTTTTCTCTTTGGACTTTAACATGTTGCAAAAATGAAGATTGTGTTAAAATGATGGCCTTTAAAATAGGAAAAAATACTGATCCACTTGTAGTCTGACCCATCAGCAATAAGGGGAAGGTGAGAAGGAAAAACACATGAAATACAGCACATACTATATATATA